TTTCCTTATTCTAGCCAAGGTTGAGCACCCCTCCAATTTGTGCTTGTGATCTCATCAATTTCTCTAGCATTTTCTATCACCACTTATTTTCTCTTGTGCATTTCAATTGCTGCCTCCATGTGGACTTCTCTTTGCCTACTAACATTTTCAAGTCCTCCTCATCATAAAACATTTTAAAAAATAGTCTTATAACAATTGTTTTCCTCTCCCCCTAGATTTCTTACTAGACTGAGAAATTTCTCAACTACTTCTTGCAGACTCATCATTCTAGTGAACTCATTATATCCAGTGACCATTTTTCAGTCCTCTTCCTCTTGGGAGTCTGCTTGTTCAGATGAGACACTGTCTTCTCTCTTTCTGGCCTCTCCTCCTATCTCAGTCATGCTAGAACTAGGAAAATCAGATAGTACATCATTGTAATAATAGTCTAGCTCAGGGTCAAAAACTAAATGCAGACTGTTGTCTATTTCTATAAATAAAGTTTTATTGGCACACCCATTTGTTTACACATTGTTTATTGCTGTGTTCATACTTCCACAGAATAATTGAGGAGTTGTGACAAGACACTGGCCTTCAAAGCCTAAAATATTTAATTGGACATTTATAGAAAAAGTTTGCTGACCTCTTTCTAGAATATCTAGGTTAAAGAATGTGTACCACTACTAATCAAGAAGAAATGACTATAAGACATAAGGAGATAACATGGAAATTAATAATTGGAAGAGGTACTGAAAGGAAATTTATAGAACACCACATAGAAATTTCCAGTTGTAATGTGTGGGTAAATAGTGTGTGTTAACTAAGGGAGGTTGTTAACCTACAACCAAATTATAAACTTCTTGAAGAATCCCTTATTCATTTTTATTTAAAATCAATTTATTTACACTAAACAAAAAAAACCAAAAACAGTTCCCCCATTTCTGGGTGAATAAGAATCCCTTCTTCATTATTATGCAACATGTAATGCACTGTCATTCATTGATATTTTCTAAAAGTTTCTATTAATACCAGAGAATAGACCTTGTTTTCAAATTTATGTGGCTTTCCCAGAAGACAGGATCTAATAAACATACCTGTACTGGAAAGGGAGGTCAAAGATGACGTGAGTCAAAGCTAGAACGTCCAGGCCAGGTTTGCTTTTAAGAATAAATTTAGAAATACTTTAAAGCAAAAAGACAACCACAAATCTAAAAGAGTGCTTTTTAATTTTTAAACAAAAGGATCATTAAGTTAACATACTAAGTTTTATTACTGGAGTATTCATAATAATGTTGGTCAATATGCCTTAAGCAACATGACTATTTAATGAAAATTAGGATGGGGGGCAGTTGTAACTGTATGAAATTTACAATTACAGTTCAAAGTTCTTTAAACTTTTATAACATTATAAGTTGATATTTACTCCCCAAATTGGAGCTCAGATTTAATTTTAATACAATTTGAAATTAAAGTATAATTATTTACACAACAGTGAATCAGAACAACTTTCCAAGTCAGATATTTATTTTCAAACTGATAATTCAAAAATAAACAGAAGAAATGTAAAGGTATAAAATATCAACATTTGTGTTGTTTAGAACGAAGCTATTTAAAGTATGTTCTGTGAACTATTTATAACCCATCCAAAATTAAAGAAAGAGCATGTGCCATAATGAAAATCAATTATATTACTAATGACTTTTTTATGGCAAGACTTTAAATAAAAGAAGCAATGTGTTGATCTGTATTCTGGCATAGGCATCTTATCTCATTACAGGCTAGGGAACAGGTACTGCTCATTTCTTTAAACTGCCATTATAATTTTACTGCTCAAGTCAAATTAATTGTAGGGAAAGAAAATGACAACTGTTACTGGCATCAATACCTCATCCATTTTTTAATCCCATCTAATCAGGGATCTATCGAAAAAGCAGATTAAATGTTATAAACTCAACATAATTTAACATTCATCTTTAGGTGTATTTAAATGTTACTAACATCTATTCATCTCAGTGGGACTCTCCAAATTCCTACTATAATGAATTTTGATAGACATTTGTTTTCAATCTTGGGGGAAAAAGAGTTAAGAATTGAGTAATTTGTTAGTAAGTTCTTGCTAAAGATTGGTTTATTTTCACATTTCAATCAGTAAAAATATTTAAATCCATCTTTATGAAAAAAATTGAATTCCTGTAGTTTGCACAATCACTTGCTTTTTACAATAAAACTTATTAGAAAAAAAGGTATGAAAATTTACAACTCTGTATATTCTATTAACTAGGGGAAACCTAAACCATTTTAAGATTTCTTAGAGCAAACAAAAGATGGTATAAAATGTTTTTTATTACTAGCTTATCAAAATTCAAATATTTCATTTTTACTCCCCAAATTGGAGCTCAGATTTAATTTTAATACAATTTGAAATTAAAGTATAATTATTTACACAACAGTGAATCAGAACAACTTTCCAAGTCAGATATTTATTTTCAAACTGATAATTCAAAAATAAACAGAAGAAATGTAAAGGTATAAAATATCAACATTTGTGTTGTTTAGAACGAAGCTATTTAAAGTATGTTCTGTGAACTATTTATAACCCATCCAAAATTAAAGAAAGAGCATGTGCCATAATGAAAATCAATTATATTACTAATGACTTTTTTATGGCAAGACTTTAAATAAAAGAAGCAATGTGTTGATCTGTATTCTGGCATAGGCATCTTATCTCATTACAGGCTAGGGAACAGGTACTGCTCATTTCTTTAAACTGCCATTATAATTTTACTGCTCAAGTCAAATTAATTGTAGGGAAAGAAAATGACAACTGTTACTGGCATCAATACCTCATCCATTTTTTAATCCCATCTAATCAGGGATCTATCGAAAAAGCAGATTAAATGTTATAAACTCAACATAATTTAACATTCATCTTTAGGTGTATTTAAATGTTACTAACATCTATTCATCTCAGTGGGACTCTCCAAATTCCTACTATAATGAATTTTGATAGACATTTGTTTTCAATCTTGGGGGAAAAAGAGTTAAGAATTGAGTAATTTGTTAGTAAGTTCTTGCTAAAGATTGGTTTATTTTCACATTTCAATCAGTAAAAATATTTAAATCCATCTTTATGAAAAAAATTGAATTCCTGTAGTTTGTACAATCACTTGCTTTTTACAATAAAACTTATTAGAAAAAAAGGTATGAAAATTTACAACTCTGTATATTCTATTAACTAGGGGAAACCTAAACCATTTTAAGATTTCTTAGAGCAAACAAAAGATGGTATAAAATGTTTTTTATTACTAGCTTATCAAAATTCAAATATTTCATTTTATTTTTTAGTATGGCATAATTCCTCTAGAAATTTAAAAACATAATATGGTCTTCTGTAAAACTAATTATTTTATCTTTCTCCAATGACTCAGTAAACTTTACCTTCATTAGCTTAATACTGAAGGCATTAAATGGACAATCAACAATTTAGAAAAACTCATCAGTTTTAGATACACAAGAGCCCAATTTAGCTTCTGCGATGGCTAGTTTATTGAACCAACAGACTATTTCTTAAAGAATTTAAATGTATATTTATATGTCACAGGAAGAGAACTCCTTTGGCACCTGAGTTGAACACAAAACAATAGAGCAAAGAACCTCTAAAAAGTTGTCTAAAGACTTTATTTTATCTATCTATACATATATACATACATCTATATATATACATATACAAATATGCACACAAGCACAAGTAGATATAAATTTTCCTTTAAAAAGTATAAGATGTAAAAGGAATTCACCATTTAGCCAAATAAAGTGATCTGATGGTTATTAAAAACTTTTTTATTTGGAGTCTTACCAAATTTCAAGAAGTTAAAAGTTTTAGAATAATATGTAATTCAAAGGAGTAAATCTCAAGGATTTTTTTTGTCAAAATACAATTTCTCTTGATATAGTAACATGGCCATGAGGTTACAACTATCTTAACATGATAAATATTAGACTTTTTAACAGTCACCAGGTGGAATGTCATCAACAAGGAGTAAATTTCCCTTTATTTGGACTGAACATAGTCACTGGCCACTGACCAAACATTCTGCTGTCCCTAGACTCTTACCTGCATTAGTCTCAGCAAAAGACTGTTAAAGGCCACTGGAGATCACCTTCTGCTGAGCCTCATCACTCACTGGGACTCTTACACAAGAACTTTAGAAGAGCTTGATGTCATCATGTTTTATGATCACACCCACGGTGCTACTGCTGACTCTGGCATTGTATTAATAGTCCTACTGGTGCTGTGATATTTTTTATGCATACTTTTAGAACTGTGAATGACTGGCTTATATTCTAAGACTTAGAAGACATCTAAAATTCTTTAAGTTACTAAGTCTGTCAGCATTTTCTTCTACATTCAGTTAAGAAATATGTTTGGCTGACTAAAAACATAGCACATTCAGTTTTACCTAAGTATCTTCTACCTAGAAAATCTGGAAGGTAAAAATCCTCTATTTTATGTACTATCTACTCTCAATCTTTTACATCTTATTAATCTGTAGTATATTGAGAGTGGGCAAAAGACATCAGAGCTAAAAAATAATGCCATTCTACTCTTTTTTTCCTGCTCCAATTGTATGGAATATTCTTAATTAGGTTTCTAACTCTCTGCTCTGGTTAAAGGACCTATATCATATAGCAGACCATGTATAATGGGAGTCTCAGGCAGTTTTGAAGTATTTGTGATTGAAAAACATTTTCAAATGTAAAATATCTCTTGAGCTTCTATAAAATAGTATATATTTTTACTCAAACTTGACACTGATATCCTAAACAAAACTTTGTCAATGGAGGCATGGTATAGATAGGACTTAACCTTGGAAAACCTTTAAGTTCAAATGTCTTCATTTGTTCAGTTTACATTAACTATAATATAAACCAAATTGCTTTTTTTTCCTGATATGTAAAACATTTTGATAAATCCACCTGAACTTGAATTATTTTATTAACATGTAAACTCACACGCACAATTTTATTTTTTGTCATATATTTAAATATTTTCTTCTGTGCAGAATTGAGATCTAAAGATAGGAAATGAAATTATGCTAGTAACTAGTAATTTAGCATTAAAACATTTCCCTAAATTCTATGCAAAAGTGCATTTACATTATAAACATACCACATATGAAGCTACAAACCACAATCTCACACTAGAGTGGATTTCAAATTCAGTCCAAATAAGTCAAAGAGAAAAGTGCTAACAGAGCAAATCTGAAACGAGTTCATGGGGACTGGGCAATGAGTCATCAAAGCGGAATCTTTTGGAAACCATGCTGCTATCCTCTGGGATATTCTCTTTGTCTTCTCGGTCACTACAAGTTCCGTTGCAAGAGGATTTAGAAGTCTTGTCTTCCGAGGACCTTATCATATGTTCCTGACTTTGAGAGGAACTGGAAGTTTCTTCAGGATGAAACAAGTTTCCAAAGTCCCATTGCTGTAGCCACGAATGAGAAAGGCAGATTTCTGCTGTTGGTCTTTTCCTTTGAAAAAAAGCACCAAGGGAAAATTGAAAACTAAAAATCACGTTGGAAACGTCTGCAGTTCTATATAATATACTTATTTTTTAATTCATTATGAAAATAACACTCATAGTACAGAAGGGAATAATAGGGAGACTGAAGTACTAGAGTTTCTTTAATTCTGATATGCTGAAAATTTAATTTATCATGGAGTTTACAGATGAGACTATCTAGTCAAGAAGATTGAGGACATATGAGAGCCTTACAGATGAAAATTAGTAAAATTATAGTCTCTTGAGTTTATAAACCCTTTAAAGGAAAATATATGTAAGTAATTCATAATCTCTATTATTATTTTGTGTTCTTAAAGACAGTAACTGTGAAATCTTGAAAACAAAGGCTACTTTTCAATGATGTCTGCCTGACCTTTTGAATTTTTACATTTGTTTTCTATTATGAAAATATAGTCAATTATCACAATATATCAAAAAGTAAGAAAATACCGATCTACACTCAGAACTCCAACCTTAACACAACCACCATTACAATTAGAATGTGTTTCTTTAGTCTTTGTTTTTAATGCTCATTTTTTTCTAATTGTAAAAAAATTAATGTGCTTATTATAGAAATTTTAGATCTAGGTTAAAAAGTATTTAAGAAAATAAAAATTGCTTATAACCAGAAACAAATAGTAGTATAACGATTTCTACTAAATTCATGTGTAATATATAGCCAGAGCTATATGCAAGTTTTTGAATTTGCATTAAGCTACTTAAATAATTAACAATTCTATGAGGTTTTTTCTTAAACAGATAAGGAAATTGAGTATACCAGGAGATTAAGTAATTGTCAGAGATAAAAGACCTGACAAATAACAAGAAACCAGGATCCCAGCCCAAACACTATATCGCAGCGTCTGCATTAGGTATAGCTAGGCCAGTTTAAAGTAAAGAGAGGTAAAGAAAAAGGAGGTCAGCTTTTTCTTCCCTGCTTTGAAGTTGCCAATGAGTGAGGTAAGAGTCTAGTTTCAAGTCCCTTCTTTACAAGGTTTTCAAAGAACATCTGATCCTTAGAGATGCGACAATCGGTAATTTGTACTTGTTATATAACTGCAATTATTTAACTACAAATCATCAACAACAAAGTCTTATCAACTACACTTCAACTTTAAAAAGAAGTCTTATCATACTCACCCATGTGTATTATAAACCTTCTATTTCTAATGATTTTCTGGAATTTCAGAGATTAGTAGCCGGTTGAGGGGAAAAAATCCAAATCTCTTCACTCCAAAATTTCCTGTTGTATATTTTATATTTCTATGTTTGAAGTTACAGATTTGTTATTTAATGATCTTTCATACTACCTCTCTCCTCATTTTACCTGAAACTTGAAAGTATACTTCTAATAATTTTATACTGTTTTAGAATGTATTTTTCTTAATATTATTTATTCTGTAATAGCATTTAAGCAAATTAATATTATTACTTACTCTGGATTCTTTACTAAAAGGCTCTGGATAAAGTCTGTGGCCAGCTGTGAAACTGATGAAAACATTTCTTCTGAATAATCTACATTAACTTGAGAAATATTGAGGTATGTTTCTTGATTATCTTCTCCCACAAATGGGGATGTATGAGTTAACAACATATATGCTATAATACCAATATTCCTGAAAAGCAAATAAGAAAGAAGAGGGGAATTTAAAATATGTTAATCTTAAAACATTTATATAAAGTAAAACTGATATATTCCTGTCCTCAAAACTTATAAATTACAGACTTACATAGCTTTTTGAAGTTCCTATATTATTAAAACTAACTGTATTATTTCAAAGTTTGTCTCACAGAAAAAGAATATGAAAGGAATGTACATGTGCGTTATAGAATTATAAATATATTACATGTATATCATTATATCTACAGTCAGTCCTTCACACAGACACCTGTTATGGAGTGGCTCAGAGAGCAGCATTTCCCAAAAGGAATCTAATGACACAGTGATGATCTGTGAGACATAAACAGGGGTTCTGTGCAAATAGTCTGCAAACTTGATGAAGCACAAAGTTGGGCAGACAGATTTTTTTTACTGCAAAACTTTTCAGAGCCTTAAATATGTTAATGACAAGTCCAGTGCTCAGGAGACCCAAAAAGACAATACACACAATACATGTTTCACCCACTTATTTATCTGCAGGATCCTTTTTTCTGGCAAATGCATTATAGTCCCATGGAACACAGGTATTAAGACTAAATTCTTCCACTTGGTCTATGGAGTCAGTCCCCTACTTTGGTCCCAAGTTTCAATATCAAAGCCAGTTCTATTCCCTATGATATTTTTCTCTGTGCTAGCCACAAAAAACTCCCAATACCCTAGAGAGATAATCTCATAAAATTAAAATTTTCCATGAACCTGACCTTATTTTTCTGGTTAAATACCATCCTAATCTTCTAGACCTGGATCAAATGTCTCCCATCTGTTACTAGCCTGTTGCTTCTCCACGCTTACCCAGCATTTTACCTTTATTATAGAATCTGTGGCACAGTACCTTTACTATTTGGTTCTTTTACTAGACTGAGTCTTCCTCCAGAAAAGCAATTTTCTTATTTATTTCGGCTCAAAGCCAAATGTTACTTAAAAGGAAAGGACAGCTAAATGTTTTCATGTGGCATACTAATGATACTTAAATAAAATATTAAAGAGAGCCGTATTACTTACATTTGGACTAAAAGAACCCTTGAATATGTATACTACCCAACTTTTAATAAATGCATTTAGGTAACTAACAAAATCTTACCACATATCAGTTGCTGTGGTAATAGGATCATAGTTTAGGATTTCTGGAGCTGAAAGAGAAAATAAAATTCAAATTCAATATTGACAAATTTAAAAACACAAAAATTATTTTATATTAAATTAAAGCTGTATTTAATTTTAAAGAACCAGTAATATAAGAGCAATAGAAATTTAACATATTATTAATTATCCAGTGATTTGACATTTAAACATACCTAATATTGAACAAATTATATAACCAAATGGTTCAAAAGTACAAATAATGTTCTTATAATAATTGGTAGCTATTTAATTTTTTTTTAAAATCGTTAACAGTAATCTCCAAAAAAACAATTATGAATAACTAAAGTGTTAGAAGCTAGAATCTTTTAAAAATTTTACTTTTATTACTCTTTTAGGAATTAGTTTGAGTCAGTGTATTAGACTGATGTGAATTTTTCTCTTCAGGGTAAATAGAATAGTATGCATTTACAATGACATAATGAGCAAATTATGCTTCATGGAAGATTTTCAAGAAGATTAAATATCTCTTAAATTATCAAAAAATTTCCTATGTCTTCTCCTCTGCCAAAATTCTTTGAAGAATACAAAATAAATTTTCTATACTTTGTAAACATTACCATAAATTTCAAATTAGTACAGCCCAAATTAGGATTTATGCTTGAATCATAATTTTATTTCACAGTTTGGTTTCAATGATTTCTTCAAAAAGAAATTGTTTCCTAAGCCTACCATTTTTGTTACTATATAAAGCCTTTGAGTCATATATATATATATATAGTCAGCCTCCATTACACAACCTACAACTGTTATATACTTCTGTGAGCTGAGTTATCTATAACTACAATCATTTATTCTAGGATACTATAACTCCTATTAACATTAAAAAATTACTAATCTGCTTTGTTTTCCTTTTTGGAAAAGTCAGCAGTCTTGCTAAGTAGCCCTTGTTCTTTTTAGTTGTATCTTTTCAATGCCTGCCTGGAAGAGCAATATGAGAAACAGAAAAAAGTGTAAAAAGATCATAAATTAATATACCTTAAATTTATGTGCTGCTTCATACAATTTAAAAATCTTTCATATGAGTCATCTAATTTGCTGATTTAGTACAATATTTCTAGATTATCTAATCCTAGGTTCTTTCAGGAACCCTTTTTCTTCAAAACCCTTCTTTGACAGCCCTAGGCAAAACCTTACATAAAGTAGCAGCAACAAATGGCAAGGAGTCTTGCTAATAATCCCTGTAAAACCAAAGATACTTGTATTGTAAACAGCTTCAGAGTTGGGACCAGGACAGTAGATGTGACCTCTATCCAACAGCAGGCTTCAAAAGCAGTAACAAGTCAACTGATTCCATTTTCCTCTTTTTCCATTTTCTCCTATTCCTTAACTTCCCTTCTACCCGTTTTTCTTTATGAATAACACCCTTCCACACAAATGTTAAACTGTTAAACTTATATGCCCAATGTCACCTCAACTGTTATGAATATCTCAATAATACTGCATTTACTAAAGTTCATTTAATTGTATCATAACCAAATTCCAATACATTAAAATACAAAATTTATTCTGGAATTACATGCTCTAAAATGTATTTTTATAGAGTTATTACTTAGTTAATAAATTTTAAAATGACAAAGAGAATAAAAGGGAATTCTTACCTAGGTATTCTGGTGTTCCCATGATTTCCCGAAGTTCACATGCATTCCCTATTTTTCGAGACATTCCAAAGTCTACAATTTTTATGTCCCCAAGAGGGTATATGCTGCTCAATAATATATTCTGTGGCTAAATAAAGCACAACAAAAAACTCATAAGTAATATATAACAATAAAAGACTATTAGTCTCAGATTGAGGTAAATTCAGTGGAATTTATTGCTTAGCTGTTACACATTTCATTGAGTCATTAATCAAACATTTATTGAACTATTTAGGAGGAGCTCTATATTCAATTATACAATAAAAAATACACTCAAGGTATATTCCATTTGGAGGAAAAAGAAGTTACATAAGTTGCTTAATTGATTATGAGCTATAGACTACTCAATAATAAAGATAAGACTACTTAATTCTTCCCATTATAAAGTCCAAGAAGGCTTTTCTGTAGAGATGATGCTTAAGCTGAACCTTAAAGAATAAATAGGAGTATGCCAGTGGGAAAGGTGCTCTGGGGAACAGAAGAAGGCGTAAAGGAATAGAAATGCATACATTTCCAGAAACAGAATGGTTCAGTATGGTGATTCTAAGTCTGACTGTTCCCAGGTTTTTAGCTTAGACAGTAAGATACATGGTATGATGCGTGGAAGGTTTTGCCCATTACCTCCTAAAAACATGCACCTTCGCTTTACTATTGCAGGGGTGGGGCTTATTACAGAGTTCCCTACCTCTGTCATAACCCATATACTTGCCAAGGTGCTGCTCCAAAGTCTGAGAAGAATCATAAGTCCTTTAACTTTGGGAAAACCCCATGTTTGTTTACTATTAAATCACATAGATCATTAGAGAAGGTAAGGGTAATTAGTTTTGTTGTTGCAAACCACAGGCTTTATGATATATAAAATCAAGTTTATATATCATCCCTGACTTTAAATGCTGTATGATACCACGTAATACACTTTGGCAGAAACAATTCCTAAGAGGAAGTCTGTGGAGGGCATGACTTCCCTGGCATTTACCATGTTGTTATTTTTCCAGTATCTTATCAGTAGGGGATGGCAGGACTGCTAGTTAGTAAATACTACCACTCCTCCATAGGGTGCCCAACACAAAAGGACAGATTTTTTTCTCCCTTAGGAAAAGGGGTAAGATAAAGAGGGAAAGGTAAGCATAGTTTGAGACATGTAAATTTTAAAGTTTCTGCATGATATCCAAATGGTATCTAATCTAAAGTTGGAAAAAACATTTGGAAATGAGGAGAATTCTTGGGCTATAGGTAGAGATCTGGGAGTCATTATTATTATGAAAGTGGTAGTGGAGGACAAAGGACCACCCAGGGAAGCTGTATTATGAAAGAGAAGAGTCCAATGTTCAAAAAGTAAGAGACAGACTACTAGTTCAGATATTAAGGTTTTTGGATGGCTGAAGAGGAAGGATAACAACACGAGATGAAGTGGTATTTTAGGGCCTGGGTAAAGGGCCTGAATGAATGGAATGGTCTGAGGGAAAAAAAGGAAGAACCAAAAGACTAAAAATCTCAAGAGAAAGATGAATGAGTATAACAGGAGCAAAGGAAAAAGGACTAGCAGGAGATTATTTTCAGAGATGGAGATCAGAAATGAGTAATTTAGAGGAAAACACTTTTATAAAATGAGAAGATCCAGGATGTAAGGAGTGGGATGGAGATATGAATGACCGCAAGATTAGAATATAGAAGGATGATGTTTTGTTTAGAGCTCAGTGATTAATTTGAGCTGCTTGCAAATGCAGTCTTCTCTCTGCCAATATAAAATTAAGTCCACTTGGCACCTAGGTAAACAGAAAGCACCCAGTGCAGTCCAGAGGAGCATGCATGATCTGACTGTTGTTTCCTACCAATACTAGCTTGCAATTGTGCATACCAAGAAAAGAAGGAACAGAGAGGTTGTGTTACTTAAAATCACAAGTTACATTACCTTTAAATCAAGGTGTACAATGTTATTCTGATGTAGATAATAAACTCCTTCAAGTATTTGTTTAATGAGTCTGACAATGTCATTTTCAGAGACCATTTCAGCCAGCTCAGGTAAACACAAGTTGAAAATCTCTCCACCTGAAGCACTGAAATAAGATTCAAACAATAGAAACTTGAAAAATCGTTAACCTAAAAACGATGACTTTGAAATACTGTATACCTTGTTAAGTAAAAGGCACAAAGCCATCTAAACTTTAGTCTATATCTATCTATCTATCTATCTATCTATATATATCTATATACACACATTTAAGGAATCAGGGTAGGAGGGAGATAGGGATGGATCTTTAAGGAAGAAAGCAAATGACAAGAATATGTCAAATTCTGGGTGCTGATACTTAAATAATTAACAAATAAAACTGAATTGCTTTATAATTCAGTAATATTACAGCTAGCCTTAATGCTGCAATAAAAGTAATTGTTGACACTAGGAGTTCAGCTCTGCTTTATGTCTTCATTTTGTTCACTTATATATAGATATCAATATAATCAATTTTGTTCCTCATGACAGTGTAAGATGGGAGGTTATTATTCCCATTTTACAGATGATAAAACAAGAACAAAGAAGTTAAATTACTTGTACAAGGTCACATAGTAAACAGGGGGCCAGAATCTAAATCTGTATTATTGGTGAGAAGCTGCATCCTTAACCAATATCCTGTATTGCAGCTTCACAAATCTTTTATCTTATTGAAGAACTAAAAATCTAGAAAATGTTGACAAAGGCATAGTGAAAACTCCCTAGGTTTGGAATCAAATGATGTAAATTTAAATCCTGAATCTGTTATTTACCAGCAATATAACTTAGGGTCAGTCATTTATTAGACTTTCCTCATTCATAAAAGAGATATCATTGAACTTAATAGATTTTTTTAAAGGACTAAATCTAAATAATAAGATAAAACTTGTCAGAACATCATGCAAAAAAAAAACCTAGATGGTTATTCATCCCGTTTTATAAGGTATGTCTGGGATTATCACAAGTAAGTGTTTGTTGAATGAGTGAATAATGAAATAGACAATTATTCTTCAAAGCAGCTGAAAGTGAAATTCAGAAATCTTGGTGACTTGCAGGAGGAAGAAGCATGTCATATGTATTAGGAACCATGAGAAGAAAAAATAAGCACTGATGGTCAAAAAGGAGTCTACATTGAAAGTAAAAGGGCTGACCCTACACACTGCAGATGTAACTCGCAACCAAGCCATCTGTACAGTGTGCCAGTTACAGGCTGCAGGGATTTGCTGCTTTACACTTTAAAGTATTCCAGAGACACTCTGTGGGACAGCTGATAAGAATACCTGTGGAAGTTCCAGTCATGGATACTTCATGCTTCAACTCTCCCCATCCCACAAAACTCCCAGAAAATGCATAAGAAATTAATATCTGTGAAAAGGTATCATGGTAAGGACAATCTAAGTATGAAAAACTTAGTTTGCTCTTAAATTTATAATGGTGGACTCCAAAGTAAGGTATAGAAAAAGATTAGAAGTTTTCTTAGAAATAAATTAATCTTTATGAATGGTTAATATACAGACTACCCCCAGTTGCGTCTTGTTCTGCATGTCTGATGTTGACTTGTCACAACCCTGCTCAAGGTCTCCTGAGGGAAGAGGGACCCTCTAGGCCAGGCTGCCAGTGATACCCTCACTCCTTCCCTTTTTGTTCACATTATTTAGTTTTAACAAAATAAATCCTCTTAAAACAGAAAGTGATTTAAATATAATCTTACAAAGATACTGCAGATACTACTACTAATGCAATAGTATAAGAAAATGAGACAGTGATACTTTCTTCAGGTTCTCTTAGAATGAATTGTTAGCCACTTGACAAGATACATCTGATAAAAAATCAGACAAATTTTAAATTATAAGAAAACTATACAACATGTGGATTGTGGATTATATTCACTATTAAGATATGAAAAATACTGGGAGGATCTGAATTCTTCATATATATGGCAATAAGAATAAATAGGAGTATGCCAGTGGGAAAGGTGCTCTGGGGAACAGAAGAAGGCGTAAAGGAATAGAAATGCATACATTTCCAGAAACAGAATGGTTCAGTATGGTGATTCTAAGTCTGACTGTTCCCAGGTTTTTAGCTTAGACAGTAAGATACATGGTATGATGCGTGGAAGGTTTTGCCCATTACCTCCTAAAAACATGCACCTTCGCTTTACTATTGCAGGGGTGGGGCTTATTACAGAGTTCCCTACCTCTGTCATAACCCATATACTTGCCAAGGTGCTGCTCCAAAGTCTGAGAAGAATCATAAGTCCTTTAACTTTGGGAAAACCCCATGTTTGTTTACTATTAAATCACATAGATCATTAGAGAAGGTAAGGGTAATTAGTTTTGTTGTTGCAAATCACAGGCTTTATGATATATAAAATCAAGTTTATATATCATCCCTGACTTTAAATGCTGTATGATACCACGTAATACACTTTGGCAGAAACAATTCCTAAGAGGAAGTCTGTGGAGGGCATGACTTCCCTGGCATTTACCATGTTGTTATTTTTCCAGTATCTTATCAGTAGGGGATGGCAGGACTGCTAGTTAGTAAATACTACCACTCCTCCATAGGGTGCCCAACACAAAAGGACAGATTTTTTTCTCCCTTAGGAAAAGGGGTAAGATAAAGAGGGAAAGGTAAGCATAGTTTGAGACATGTAAATTTTAAAGTTTCTGCATGATATCCAAATGGTATCTAATCTAAAGTTGGAAAAAACATTTGGAAATGAGGAGAATTCTTGGGCTATAGGTAGAGATCTGGGAGTCATTATTATTATGAAAGTGGTAGTGGAGGACAAAGGACCACCCAGGGAAGCTGTATTATGAAAGAGAAGAGTCCAATGTTCAAAAAGTAAGAGACAGACTACTAGTTCAGATATTAAGGTTTTTGGATGGCTGAAGAGGAAGGATAACAACACGAGATGAAGTGGTATTTTAGGGCCTGGGTAAAGGGCCTGAATGAATGGAATGGTCTGAGGGAAAAAAAGGAAGAACCAAAAGACTAAAAATCTCAAGAGAAAGATGAATGAGTATAACAGGAGCAAAGGAAAAAGGACTAGCAGGAGATTATTTTCAGAGATGGAGATCAGAAATGAGTAATTTAGAGGAAAACACTTTTATAAAATGAGAAGATCCAGGATGTAAGGAGTGGGATGGAGATATGAATGACCGCAAGATTAGAATATAGAAGGATGATGTTTTGTTTAGAGCTCAGTGATTAATTTGAGCTGCTTGCAAATGCAGTCTTCTCTCTGCCAATATAAAATTAAGTCCACTTGGCACCTAGGTAAACAGAAAGCACCCAGTGCAGTCCAGAGGAGCATGCATGATCTGACTGTTGTTTCCTACCAATACTAGCTTGCAATTGTGCATACCAAGAAAAGAAGGAACAGAGAGGTTGTGTTACTTAAAATCACAAGTTACATTACCTTTAAATCAAGGTGTACAATGTTATTCTGATGTAGATAATAAACTCCTTCAAGTATTTGTTTAATGAGTCTGACAATGTCATTTTCAGAGACCATTTCAGCCAGCTCAGGTAAACACAAGTTGAAAATCTCTCCACCTGCAGCACTGAAATAAGATTCAAACAATAGAAACTTGAAAAATCGTTAACCTAAAAACGATGACTTTGAAATACTGTATACCTTGTTAAGTAAAAGGCACAAAGCCATCTAAACTTTAGTCTATATCTATCTATCTATCTATCTATATATATATATATCTATATACACACATTTAAGGAATCAGGGTAGGAGGGAGATAGGGATGGATCTTTAAGGAAGAAAGCAAATGACAAGAATATGTCAAATTCTGGGTGCTGATACTTAAATAATTAACAAATAAAACTGAATTGCTTTATAATTCAATAATATTACAGCTAGCCTTAATGCTGCAATAAAAGTAATTGTTGACACTAGGAGTTCAGCTCTGCTTTATGTCTTCATTTTGTTCACTTATATATAGATATCAATATAATCAATTTTGTTCCTCATGACAGTGTAAGATGGGAGGTTATTATTCCCATTTTACAGATGATAAAACAAGAACAAAGAAGTTAAATTACTTGTACAAGGTCACATAGTAAACAGGGGGCCAGAATCTAAATCTGTATTATTGGTGAGAAGCTGCATCCTTAACCAATATCCTGTATTGCAGCTTCACAAATCTTTTATCTTATTGAAGAACTAAAAATCTAGAAAATGTTGACAAAGGCATAGTGAAAACTCCCTAGGTTTGGAATCAAATGATGTAAATTTAAATCCTGAATCTGTTATTTACCAGCAATATAACTTAGGGTCAGTCATTTATTAGACTTTCCTCATTCATAAAAGAGATATCATTGAACTTAATAGATTTTTTTAAAGGACTAAATCTAAATAATAAGATAAAACTTGTCAGAACATCATGCAAAAAAAAAACCTAGATGGTTATTCATCCCGTTTTATAAGGTATGTCTGGGATTATCACAAGTAAGTGTTTGTTGAATGAGTGAATAATGAAATAGACAATTATTCTTCAAAGCAGCTGAAAGTGAAATTCAGAAATCTTGGTGACTTGCAGGAGGAAGAAGCATGTCATATGTATTAGGAACCATGAGAAGAAAAAATAAGCACTGATGGTCAAAAAGGAGTCTACATTGAAAGTAAAAGGGCTGACCCTACACACTGCAGATGTAACTCGCAACCAAGCCATCTGTACAGTGTGCCAGTTACAGGCTGCAGGGATTTGCTGCTTTACACTTTAAAGTATTCCAGAGACACTCTGTGGGACAGCTGATAAGAATACCTGTGGAAGTTCCAGTCATGGATACTTCATGCTTCAACTCTCCCCATCCCACAAAACTCCCAGAAAATGCATAAGAAATTAATATCTGTGAAAAGGTATCATGGTAAGGACAATCTAAGTATGAAAAACTTAGTTTGCTCTTAAATTTATAATGGTGGACTCCAAAGTAAGGTATAGAAAAAGATTAGAAGTTTTCTTAGAAATAAATTAATCTTTATGAATGGTTAATATACAGACTACCCCCAGTTGCGTCTTGTTCTGCATGTCTGATGTTGACTTGTCACAACCCTGCTCAAGGTCTCCTGAGGGAAGAGGGACCCTCTAGGCCAGGCTGCCAGTGATACCCTCACTCCTTCCCTTTTTGTTCACATTATTTAGTTTTAACAAAATAAATCCTCTTAAAACAGAAAGTGATTTAAATATAATCTTACAAAGATACTGCAGATACTACTACTAATGCAATAGTATAAGAAAATGAGACAGTGATACTTTCTTCAGGTTCTCTTAGAATGAATTGTTAGCCACTTGACAAGATACATCTGATAAAAAATCAGACAAATTTTAAATTATAAGAAAACTATACAACATGTGGATTGTGGATTATATTCACTATTAAGATATGAAAAATACTGGGAGGATCTGAATTCTTCATATATATGGCAATATAAATGACTTAGGTGAGAAATTCATTCTTGAACACTGCAATAATTTATATGGCAACAATTTATATTACATTTACTAAGCTAATTCAATAGCTAGAACCCTCCATTATATATAAAATTCAAAACAAAATGCAAGAAAACAAAGAAATATGTAAAGCTCTTTCCAGTGCCTAGGACATAATAGAAAGGACAGCAGGCTCCTTATTGGCGTACCTACTGAAATCAAGACTGACTGGGTTCTATTCTGGCTCTGCAACTAAGTAGCTGCATGAATTGGCACAAAATGTGCCTCTGTTTCTTCTACCATAATATAACAAAACAGATGAATAATGATAGCTCCTATTTCATTGGGTTGCTATAAGAATAAAATTAGATAAGCCATATAAAGTACTGAGCATAATAGATGTTGTAAGGATAGAAGCAGGTCATCTGTAAGTATCACAGTGTCTAACACTGAGTAGATACTCAATATTCATTATTATAATGAGTCAACAAATATTAACTCCAAATCTAGCCAACATCCAGCCTTTCTGAATTTTGGGGTTTCTTGTTAAACTCTGATTTTGAAGGCAATTTAAAAAGTCTAAATTAAGTTGCTAAATTGAAATTCACTTTTAGAAACACTCTATCATACATATGAAAAAGCACACAATATATTCTTAGGTGAAAAAAAGAGGGTTACAATAAAGTACACCCAAAATCACAATTTTTTTCTAGAGGTATATATACATAGACCAAAAAATAAGAATTATTTAAAAATACAGGACTATGCCATGAAAGTAACCATAGTTTATATATGATTTCTATCCCTATTTCTATTAAATTTAACACAATGCATAGGCATTACTTTTATAACCAGAAGTATCCTAAGGGTTTTTTGTTTCAATAACAAAACACAAATACTATGTCAGTCAATCAGACTGTCTCTTCCTTTTAGTTTGCCAAGCTGACTGATATCTTTTATAGGACTGTTATTTTTTCCACAAAAGAGGAACACAGGTGGAGCTATGGCAAATGGAAAATCAGGAAGAGTTAAGAGAAAGGAAAGAACAGATAACACAAGTAGACTGTAGAAGTTTAGCAGAAACTGATATAAATAAAATCATTGAGTAGCATAAAAGCAGATGCTTTGTTAAAACAAGCCACCAAGGAGCAGTGACTACAGAAAAAAAGAAATATCTCTATAGTTATAAAAACCACCTATATCATTATCATTGCCCTGGAAGTTACATTGAGATATTCTACTCTTTCTCTTTTAGAAGAGTTTGCCCCCTGACAAGACATCAACCAACAAAGTTAGCAATCTGGAGCATTTGCATGCATGTGCTTATGTATTCATATATGTGTTGTGTGTGTGTGACAACAATACCTTAGTACAGTTACACTGTCATGTAAACCTATGTTACATACTTTCAAATGCTTCAGTAAATATGGTAAAATGTCAACAATTGGTGAATCAAACTGAGAAGTAAGATTGTTAATTGTATCCATTCTTTTGACTTCTCTGTAAACTTGAAATTTTGTAAAATAAAAAAGTTGAGGAAGCAAACTGAGTATGTAGGATGATTTAAAGAAGGGATCAAATTGGTAGTTGTTATTAGAGTAAGATGCCACTGTTTTATTTTCACCATATAAAAAATTGTGCCCTCACTCAGAACCTCACCCCCCCTGTTTTGAGAGAAATCTTTTGCATCTGTGGATGTTTTGCTGCCCTTGTCTGGCTTGGATTAACACATAGTCTACAGGCACACATCTGATCATCTACAATTGCTCTCTTACAACACTAAACTATGTTTTCTACCTTTATCTTGCATCTACCTACCACTTCAGCATTTTATTAAAAATAAAAATAATAATAATAAAGGGAGAAATGTGGGATCAACATATAAATCAAGTATAAAAATCAAACGAATATTCATATTTGACCTGATTGTTTATAGTTCATAATGCGTGATCAAAACCGAAAGTTTCTGTGACGACTGCCCTTGTACTGTTCACCATGTAAAAACTTATTCACTATGTAAGAATTTGTTCACCATGCAAGAACTTGTTCGTTATGCTTCAGAAGATGGGAGACTGTTGAGAATTAGGCTTGGGGTTGATTAATGATTGTGCATTGAGTCCCCTATACAGAATTTTATTGTTGTTAACAACCATATGATCAATAAATATGAGAGATGCTCTCTCTCAAAAAAAAATTGTGCCCTCATATTAAAATAATAAACCTGTCCAACCAAATTTTTACCTTTGATAAGATTGTCTGATTTGACAATGCCACTCCAAAAATGACAGTCATAGTAAACCAAAGTCCTACTAATAGATTTTAATAGGTCTTAGTTGCTCTGGTAAGAAATACATTAATCCACTCACACATTTACTGTGTGCTTGTTACTTTTAAGCCATTAGGTACAATTCTGCCTTTAAGGAATTCAGTTAACTAGGTAGAATACCTGAATCAATTTTCAGAGTATGAACCAATCCATAACATTTATCAAAACTTTTAATGCATTTTGTTGTTGCTATTTATATGAACCCCCAAAAGAGGATTTTATGAAAATGGTCAATGCTTCTATCTATATTCACCCTTCAAACCTATTATTCCTTTGCTTTTCTGAAAAGTGTAAAATGCTTTTCACAAATTTCAAACATATAGTATCATGTAAGTAGGTAACTTTTTAAATTTAGCTAGGAATCTGGCAGAAATAACCACAAAATGTATGAAAAATGGAATCATATTAGTAGTATCCTGGGTTTTTGCAATTCTAATTTATTTTGAAGATGCTATAATACTCTGATTGCTATGTTGGTAGTCTGGGAAAGGTACATAACAGTCATTTTTAAATGAACTACTTGTTAGTTTAACATTTTTCAAAACAAGCCTTTTCATTTATAAGTTGATTCCAGGCAACTGACTTTCCAGTACAAAAATATATTGATTTTTACAAACATAAAAACAAACCTCTTTATTCTTAAAATAACTTAAAATTAGGCTAATATACTTCAAATTCAAAAAGGCAATGATGCCGGTTAGCTACTGAAAAGAATTACTATATTTATAATGAATTTTTTGTATAATAAATACTTATCTCTTTGTTTTACTAGAAAGTAATTTCTTTTATAAAAATTATCAAAACCTAACGCATACTGAACATAAATTGAGCCGATCTCTTCCAGTTGTTGCAACTGTTGCAGATGTTCAAACACATATTTTACATACTTACAATAACTGTGTCAGACTGTCATGCAGTGAAGGCACTATTTTAGAATCACATGTCAATATACTAATTAATAAACAACTTAGTTGAACCACGCTCTATACCCAACTGACGAACTGTTAAATATTTGGGTGTTTTCAACTTTTCACTGACTTGTGGGAAGAGATATATTCTATGTCTTACTGCTATAATTCCTAACACAGTGTTTCATACATACTAAATAAACGTGTTTCTTTAACAAACAATATGATAGGCATACCTTCACCTTCATGCAAGCTTACCTTTCCATTCTCCTTGGATCATTTCCTTGGATGTGTTTTTCAAAGATGGACAAAATATATAAATGATTTCAATTCTATTCACCCATCAGACTGTTTTGTAAAAAAACTCATCAGTTTTCTGTGCCATTAGCAATGAAAATATACTCATTTCATTACATTTCCAGAACATTGTACTACCATCTGTTTCTTTTGTGTTAATTAGTTTTGTATTATGTACATGAGCTGGTATATTTAGCTTTGTGAAAATACTTGAATATACAGTACATCCCTCTAATACTTTATCAACAGGTTATGCTTTTATCATTTTTGTTGACATTTCAAGTTGCCTTATTTTACTAATTAAAATAGGTGCTATAAATTTACTTAAATTTATTCAAGTGCATACTTACTATTCCAATATCAAAATAATTTCACTTGTATTTTCATAGACTTCATGAAGATTAATCACGTGGGGACAGGACTTTGTCAGTTCAAGCACAGCTATCTCATGTAGAATCTCTGCTCGACAATCCTGTCCTCTTCTTCTCTTCTTCAGAAATTTTGCAGCATATTCCTGGCCAGTAGATTTTGATATGCACTGTCTAACCACAGCAAATTTTCCTCTGAGGGAAAAATGAGGATGATTAGCTTTAATTTTTCCATAAAGAACAATATTAGTATAATACCAATACAGTTTTAAAAGTCAATCCTTTCAAATAACCATGTCATTAGGAATTTAATCTTTGTTCTCATAACTAAATCAAATACTACATGTACTATAAAATCTACAATACTATGACATTAAATGAAAATGGCAAATGTAATAACAGGATAAGAATTATATTTAATGTTCACTGTTCGTATAATACATTATCATTTTGGGGAGATCTCATTTGCATACCAACTCCGTGCCATACTCTTGATACAAATTATTGTGTTTAATTATCACAACAATCCTATACAGTAAATGCTATTCTGTTTTGCAGACCCCAGAGAAGATGTGTATCTTGGTCTATTTTCAGACTGTACCCTTAATAGGGTATCACTTTAACTCTCTAACAAAAATAGCCTTCTTTCAAATACAAGAAATTAAAATGAATGCAAAAATGGGTACTTGACATTTAATTTTATTAGTGTAGTCATTCTGCCTTTCAACACCTCTTTTAACTATATATAAATGATTTCAATTCTATTCACCCATCAGACTGTTTTGTAAAAAAACTCATCAGTTTTCTGTGCCATTAGCAATGAAAATATACTCATTTCATTACATTTCCAGAACATTGTACTACCATCTGTTTCTTTTGTGTTAATTAGTTTTTGTATTATGTACATGAGCTGGTATATTTAGCTTTGTGAAAATACTTGAATATACAGTACATCCCTCTAATACTTTATCAACAGGTTATGCTTTTATCATTTTTGTTGACATTTCAAGTTGCCTTATTTTACTAATTAAAATAGGTGCTATAAATTTACTTAAATTTATTCAAGTGCATACTTACTATTCCAATATCAAAATAATTTCACTTGTATTTTCATAGACTTCATGAAGATTAATCACGTGGGGACAGGACTTTGTCAGTTCAAGCACAGCTATCTCATGTAGAATCTCTGCTCGACAATCCTGTCCTCTTCTTCTCTTCTTCAGAAATTTTGCAGCATATTCCTGGCCAGTAGATTTTGATATGCACTGTCTAACCACAGCAAATTTTCCTCTGAGGGAAAAATGAGGATGATTAGCTTTAATTTTTCCATAAAGAACAATATTAGTATAATACCAATACAGTTTTAAAAGTCAATCCTTTCAAATAACCATGTCATTAGGAATTTAATCTTTGTTCTCATAACTAAATCAAATACTACATGTACTATAAAATCTACAATACTATGACATTAAATGAAAATGGCAAATGTAATAACAGGATAAGAATTATATTTAATGTTCACTGTTCGTATAATACATTATCATTTTGGGGAGATCTCATTTGCATACCAACTCCGTGCCATACTCTTGATACAAATTATTGTGTTTAATTATCACAACAATCCTATACAGTAAATGCTATTCTGTTTTGCAGACCCCAGAGAAGATGTGTATCTTGGTCTATTTTCAGACTGTACCCTTAATAGGGTATCACTTTAACTCTCTAACAAAAATAGCCTTCTTTCAAATACAAGAAATTAAAATGAATGCAAAAATGGGTACTTGACATTTAATTTTATTAGTGTAGTCATTCTGCCTTTCAACACCTCTTTTAACGAGCTTTGAAGCTTTCTATCACAATTTGCCAACTGTTTTACCAGCAAATCGGTGAAGCCTGTAACATATACCAAAGGTATTTATGCCCTATGGAGGGTACTCAAAGACACTTCATGATAAACTAAGAAAATTAATGGTTTTAACAGCTATGTACAAACACACCCAGCATGGTCATGTTTATCATTTTAGGAGTAAGTAAGTGATTGGCTCTCTGCAGTATAACTGCTCAACATCTCAGAAAAATTTTAAGGGACACTGGCAAATGTGTGTATTCTAAGCTCATAGTTGCCCAAAATCGAGTTTCCCAAAGGCCTAAAACTATTTTGAGTTAAGACTATTTTACAAAACTAATAAGAGTTACTGACCGCCCACCTAGAAAAATGTACAAATGCCCTTAAATAGGAAGTTTTACTTAAAATTCCAGAGAGTTTTCAGATTTCTAAGCCCATCTATAAGCCTTCTAAGCCTGAATCCAAGGGATCCAAAATTAAGAAACTCTATCCTAAGTTCAAATTGCTGTATAGATACTAACAAATCAGGACTAAATAAAGGCTCTTCAGAGAATACCTTCTGTTCTACAACACCTCTTTCCCCAATTTCTCTTAGAATAGACTTCTAATACAAAATATCAGGTACTTAGCAAGGAAAACTATTTTTAATACACTTGGTATTTGGAGTGGGGGATAAGTGAATTTCCTGATTGTTATTTTATTTGTTATTCTCTAGGACTAGGAAAGCAAAGATTCCCAAATTTCCTCAAAATTGGTGCCAATGAAAAACACTAGAAACCAAGCTGAATAAGTATAACTATTTATGCCAAAAAAATTTAAGAGACCCTATCAGTCGTAATTACTATAGAAATTACAAAATCTATATTTTGCTAAAACGTAATAGGAAATGAAATAGCTATTGAATGAACTGAAGAGTTATGCACCTACTATAATACCATATATTGTGTTATTTTTTATCCTGTATGTAAAGCATTTATATTTTTAAAGCTTATTTGAGATTCCAATAAAACTTTATACATATATTCACTTATATACTGTAAAATAAGGTAAATATTTTTACCATAATTATCCCTAAGGGAAAAAACAAGTTGTTTTCTATTCAAAAATGCTAATTGTGGTTTAGAACTATGAAAAATAATCTTTTATACATAACATTCCTGTATCAGATTTAACAGAAATAGTTAAGGAAATTTAAAACCCTTAACAATATTTAATTCATACCCTAAAAAGGCAAAGCTGACTAGATTTCCCAGCACTGAAAAGGTCTAGTAGTTACCCTTCTGCATTCTAGAACAGACAATAAAATGTGAGGGAAGGGGGAGGATAAGCCACAAAGGAAGCTGACTTATTTCTGCATCTGCCTCACCCTTCTAACCACAAGAAGGCCTATGAAGTCTTGCCTCAGTTGGGGGAAGGGTGGAAAAAACTTACCCAACATGTTAAAAAACAGGAACAATGCAAAGTTTTTTAGAATAGTCAAAAATGAACCGTTGACTTTTACATACTTTCTTTAAGCCTGCTAAAGGAAAATACATTCTTAAATACTAACACTTTAAAATTTTAAAAACAGTTGATTTAGAAAGATCAATTTGGTTTACAAAGGAAGAACTTTGTAGTTCATCACATGCTAGAATTAAGTTTATATATTTTATAATGTATAAACCTCAGGAGAAACAAGATAATGATTCTAATTTCCATTTCCAAATAATATAGTATAAGAAAATTGGTCACAATACTGAAATAACTTAAAGCAAGAGTTTGGCAGATGAAAGGTCATGATTTGCAACTTACCAAGGTTTACTAATTAGATATATATATATATATTCTTCATGTGATTCATCAGCCTGTATCAATTAAAAGATAAATGTATGTCTCCTCATGAAGTTATTTGAAGATGGGATATTAGCAATCTGAATTTGTTTTAGTCAGATACTATCAAGAATTTGCTCTAAAATGTTAAAAATTGTAAGTTTATGATTGTTATTTATGATGGCAACTTATTTATAAAACAATTTGGAATTATTAATATTATCCTCCTCAAAGTTTAAGCTCTCCAAAACCCCCAAAGAAAAAAATTATAGACTCTCTAGCTCCCATAATATCCCTTATATTACTAAATTAATTTAATAAATGTATGTACACTTATCCATCAAAATATAACTTAGAAAAATAGAAAATAATTCCCTTTATTATGTGGTACTGTTCAAGGCTTTGCATATTCAGTTATCTGCTCAGAGTAGTTTTCAAACATTTTTGCAATAGAAGGAAACTTGGAGACATCTAGCCCACCCTCCCATTTAAAGAAAAGGAAATCAAACAACTAAGTATCTCATACAACTTTAGATTTAAAGACAGGTTAACTGACTTCCAGCATAGTCTGTTTTTACTAATACACTATATGACAATATTTGATATGGCTGTTGGAAAAAAAAGAAAGAAAAACTCCTAATGGAGTCTGCCTAATGGAAGACTACCTCAATAAAGTATTCTAAATGTTAGGATATTGACATTAGTGTGTTCATTCCAGGCCTCCTCATTTTAACATTGATAATGAAAAATGCAAAGTAGTCCAGAAGAGGGTAACTGGATCAAGGAAAGCTGTCTGGAAATCAGGTCATGAGTATTTAAGGAAACTGACAATGTTTAGCCATATTCAAATCTCTGAAGGATTTTTCACATGAACATTACAGAAGGAGAACCACATCTATCGGGTAGACGTTAGCAGAGGATAAAAGAGAACCTTCTGTGCCTAAAAGGCCCACAAAATGGAACAGACACATTCTGAGGCAATGAGTTCCCCATCAGTGAAACATTCAAGTTGAGGCTAAATGAACAGCTTGTCAAGACAATTACAGGAAAGACTGCTATACTGCATAAAAAATTATATTGGAAAGCCACTGAGCACCGAAGTTTTTTCCACTGCAAAGACTGAATGACTATTCAATATGAGATATAGGCAACTATAAGAAAACTTACTCTTTCCTGCTATAATGCAAGGAGAAATAATTATAGATTTAGATGTAAACAATTTCTTAAAAACATTCTGAAAGGTTTTTAAAACTGTATCTCTTAATACATCATGAAAACACCCAAAACTAAAGAAATTAATCTGCTAGAAATTATGAAATGTGCTTTCACATTCAGTTCTTAATCTGATGAGGTAGATATCATCCTTATTTTGCAAAAGAAAGACAGCATCCAATATCCAACAACTGAAAAAGCTAGGACTTGACTTTACCCTTTACGTAAAAGACCACCACCAACAGAATTATTTTTCATGGTCCAGTCAATTTTTGTTTTCACACTGAGATTTTCAAAGATAAAAATCAAACTATTTTACTGTACATTTATCAATACAAATGTGGACTTTGTAAATAAACCATTTTAACATAAGCCAATACATTTGCCTCCAGAACTAAACTGAAACTGAAGCTAGAAACTGATTGCCATCTTCAAGCCTTTAAGTGCCTCTTATTTAAAGCTCAAAAATAGATGTTCAGTATTCAACATAAATAACTTGGTATATCTTTTATAACTTTCATATATATTAACATGGTAATGCTAAATGGTCTCATAATCTCAGGACACACTTTACATCTTGGATAAATTAGATTACTATTAGTGTAAGGATAGGGTTTTACTTACATAAGATGCATTCTTTTTCATACAGAATTATTACTATCAAATTTGAGTTAGTTCTTTCTGTTTAATTTAGGAAAGAAGAGGAGACTTTATTTTTTTTAGCCCCATGCAATATCCTATGAATTTTTTAATTGTTTTAACAAAAACTTACATAGCAATCTATAAATACTTTACAAATTTTAACTAATGTAAAGCTCGAAACAACCATAAACAACCGTATAAGACAGATACAGTTATTTTCATCCCCACTTCTCCGCTGAGGAGCCTATACAACTAAGAGGTGCAGTAATTTAGCTGAGGTTGCACTGCTTGTAAATGTGGGAGCCCAGATTTGGACTTGGCAGTCAACTATGCTAAGCTGCCTCTTCCCATGCACAGCCTCAAATAAGAACCCTGACCTTTCATAAGGGTCTCTGAAGGTAGGTAAGATGCATCATATAAGCTCACTAATCCTCCACAGATTTGATTTCTAAGTCAATTAAGCCTAGATCCTGTATACTAACAGCAGAGATGATGACTTTTCTTTCTAATCATTAATGATCAAGTAAGTTTTATAGAATTATAGGCACAGAAATACAAAATGTGAATTTAAACAGCATATACATCATAAAGTTTTCTTACCTTCCTAGCTCTTTAGATGTAAGTGTATAAAAATTATTAAAGTTTTCCATTTTCATTGGAGTTTGAGGCATCGTAGTTAGCAAGCCTGAAATACTTCGGCAATCAAATCTTCTCCTTGACATGTTAGATGACTCCCAGATGTACTCTTTAGTCACTTATTTTTACCTATTTAAAAACAGAAAAGATACAGGATATAACTTCAAAGCAATTTTTAAAAAGATGTTGTCTTAGTGTATATTACATTATACAGCTCCAACTATAACTGTAAGATACAAATGCTACCCTCCCCCCCAAAAAAAATTAAGAGAAAAAAGATTTAAAGAGCACATCCAGTCCAGAAGGAAGAAAAACAAAAAGCACACAAATGAACTGGTATCACCTCTACGGTACTTGAACTAAGTTACTAACTTCATTTCAGAATCAAACTATCATAAAAATCCTGTAAGAACTCCCAAATTCTTTTAAAAAGTTATAATAAAATTTTAACATAGCAATCATTTAATTTCACTTTTCAACTCTTGTTCTTTAAAGTTATATCTTCCTATAACAAGATAATTTAGCATAGCAATGTAATGATTATTCATTTTAAATTTAATTTCACATTTTCAAACAAATTTGGTGGTAAATTCACATTTTATGAGTTATATTACTGACATCTGAATGACATAAGAAATAGAACTCATTTCACATGCTGTCTATGTTTCAATACTAAATTTAAAACTTTCATAGGTCTTAAGGGTATCGTTTCTTTGGCAGAACCTAGCACAGCTATGTATGAAGAACTCTATAAATTTTGTTGGGTGAGTAATGGACCATATCTAAAGTCTTATTCTGATGTTCTAATCTATATCTGAAGCACATATTTATCTGGAACTTTGTGATATTTACATGTATTCAATTGCAACATCAAACTACCATTTCACATAAATTGAATTAAAACAGTATCAGACTATATATTTTAAGATACTTTTGATTTTCTGCCATGCCTATTTGATAAAAGATTCAGTATTATTCTTCCAGCATTCCCTTATAATAACCCCCTAGGCTTTTGCTCCTCTTCACATTCTTCCTCCCCTTATTTCCTACTTGACATGTACTGTTCTTTATCTTTCTAAATACAAATGCCAACTGTACTCAACTCAGCACATAAGCAGTGTGATTAAAGTTCAGTGTTTTCAGTTTTTATATATTCTGACTTTTATTCTTAAATCAGCAATTTGTTTTCTAAATATCTTGATATTTGGAGAAACAAAGACCTAACTAGTTTTGGGGTATATCTCTAGTAGTCTAAGGGTTTGGTGTAGCATTCTGGAAATAACATTTGGACTGAATCACATCAGCATCTGAATTCCATTTATCCATCATACCAGCTATGAGACCTTAGGTAAATTAGATCTTAACTAAATTATTTAACTTTGCTACTGCTATGGACTGAATTGTGTCCTTCCCTTCAAAATTCACATTTTAAGTCCTAAGACCCAGTTTTTCAGAAAGTGACTATATTTAGAGATAGGGTCTTTAAAGAGGTAGGCAAGTTAAATTGTGATCAGTTGTGCTTTTACAAATTTTCTTTCTAAATTTAAAAGTCTATGAATATGCATGCTTATGATAACATTTATGTTACACACATACATACAGAAATAATCTAATAGGACTGGTGTCCTTAAAAAGAGGAGACTGGGACACAGAAACACACAAAGACCATGTGAAAACACCAGGAGAAGAGACAGGCTTCAGAAAAAACAACCCTGTCGACACCTTGATCTCAAACTTCTAATCTTCAGAATTGTGAAAAAATTAATTTCTGTTGTTTTAAGTCACCCAATCTGTAATACTTTATTATGGCTGCCTAGCAAACCAATACAGCTACTTAAAAAAAAAGAAAGACTTCAAATGCATAAGAAGGGATACAAATATCATAACAGACACTTGCTTTTTCAATCTTAATACTTTGCCATATTTCATTTATATTAAAAGTTAGGAAACCATAGTCACAGCTAAAACCAGTCCCTTCTTTCTACCCCCAGTTTACATTCTCACTAGCACTGGGTGGAGCACTTATCATTTCCTTGCCAACATTTGCCCCATTCAGACTTTTAATTTTGGCTATTCTAGTGTGATGGAGGTGAAATGGAATGCTGTGATTTACTTTGCATTTCTCTGAGTAGCAGGGAGGAAAGCTTCAATTCTGTCACCTCTAAAATATGGATAAGAATAGAATCTATCTTGCAGAGCTCTAAAGATGAAAAGTTAAAATATGATAAACTCTTATAGAATGGCACTGGTACAGTGATAGTCATGAGAGCACATCATGATTGTTCAATAAATAAATATTAGCAATATTCCACCCAAAATACTCTCTTGCAGTCTCCTTTCATTGCTGAGTGGCTCTACTCTATTTCCATATACAAAACTGTCATCCCAAGTAGCTTAAATTCAACTCTTAAAATTATTTTTTATTCTGCTTTAACTATTTGTGTACTTTCTTAGTTCTGATGGTACTCAGTTTCGTTGGTCACATATTCATCTCCAAAAATTCAAAAGTTACCAATTTCCATACTCGGTGTATTTTTTTCAGGTCAAGTTTGGGCTTTTACTATTTTCTTCTAAATTTTAAAGTCTATGAATATCTATGTTTATGATTGCATGTTATACACATATATACAGAGAGAAGAGATGTACCTTTATCATGGATACAAATTGGGCTACATTCCCAACACAGTTCATCAGTCAGGACTTGGAAAACACAGGAACAAGAATATGTTAAATTCAATCCCAGATACAGAATATAGGCTCTTGATTCTAAGATGTTCACCTCATTTAGATTCTAGAATCTAAGATATTTATCTTGTGCTGTAATATACGAGCTACAAAGTGAACTATTCCTAAGAACTCTAGTAGAACTAAGATGCATTTTATGAACAAGTATTTTCTGCTGTCAAGTTTCAAAAGAGTCAATATGGGTTTTAGATGTCAAAGATTTATATTCAGTAAAGCATGATTTATAACAGTGAAACATAATTTTAAACTTCCTGAATCAAAGAACCCCAAAGTCTAACACAGGGAAATGGTTAAATGTACCAAAATAAAAGGATATTATACACTCAAAGATTTCACTTTCAAAGAATATTTTAAACTCATATAATAGTAAGTGAAAAAAGACACAAAACTTTATATACAATATGATAATTCTGTGGAAAAAAATGAAAGTAAAATAGAAGAAAAGACTAGAAAACTATGGCTAAATGTTAGTGGTTATCTTTAGGTGGTCCTGTTACAGCAGTACTTATGCTTTCCTCTGTTTAAATTATCTACACTAAGCAGGTACTACATAAATAAATGCCTTTGGGTAAAAAAGATGGCTGTGAATATATATGACTAGACTTTAATGCAGAAACTCCATATTTCTTCACACATGAAGGGCTTACCTGGCTAGAAGTTCAAGAGCCATTACTGCTAAGGTTTTTTTAAGACCTCAACATTTTCTCTGCATTAACATACAGCAGATGGTGCTCATTATCCAAATAATATGTCAGTTCTTATGGAGAAACCATATAGGCATTTTGAGTAAATACTAAGGAAGGATTAATGCCTGGTTTAATACTGCATAAAAATATAAATAAATTCAGAAGTAATGTTATAGTTATAATTGTTATAGTGAATAACAATTTGTAACCTTAAGACATAAGCCTTTATTATGAGTATCACTTGTAAAATTCCAGACTCACTTTGGGTGTCTGTGGAAAAAAAAAATCCAAAGTGTAATATTCAAATGTACTGATAAATATTGAGTTTTGTAATTCATATTATTTAGATATATGAAAAGGAAAAAGTGCTTAGCTTAGCTTTAAGAAAAAGGATTGAATTGGATAATGATAGTATAAATAGGGCCTTATGAATCAAGCTAATAGTAAAGATAAAGTAAGACTACATAGTAAAGTATTTCTTAATACTGGACATTGACTTGTGTTTAATTTTTTTATCCTAACAAATTTTCTTCCCCTCGTATGTACTGTTGGTTATCTTAATGGACGAATGTACCATAGGTATTTGTATGACTATAAATGTAGCTGAAAACGGTATTGGGCAATCAGCAGTTTTTAAATACATGTTAATTCAAAAATCATTTTTTAAGTTATGATACATTTCATTCTGGCTTTGATAATGCTAGAACGTGAAGCCATGTCTCAGAAAAAAGAAAGCACATTTCTGAAGACTGAACACTTAAACTTACTTACTTATGGCTAAATATATTACAACCACTTTAGGAATCCATATAACATCCTTAAATAAATTTTCCTTCTATTTACTGCACTCGAACCAGTGCCATAGTCTAGATATTTTTCCATTTCCTCTTCTTTGGTCATTTTTGCATATAGTGGAGCATGAATGTCACCTTTGTCCACCAAACACTCTACAAACATCTGGTTGCCCTTTATATAAGATTTAATCCTTGGACACATGAAGGTTATCAATCAGCTCTGTTTCTCCTTGCATGTGACTACGTTTCCCACCAATTTCTCTTTAAATCCAACGAACAATCCCAGAACTTTTCTTAATTTCTACCACAGTTCACAGACCTATAACTGATTCTAATTACCAATATGTCTCACTCCATTTGAAATTCATTTCATAACACTTTATTAGGTTACACTAATAAAAAAATCTTAAGAGACTCAGTAGGTAAATTTAGGTAAAAATATTAAGGAACTCAGTGTGTGTGTGTGTGTGTGTGCATAAGTACACAATTATAGACACAATCAGGTGTTATAAAAAAATAAGAAGGTAACAGAATGCAAGATACAATTAAGCTTTCAATTTCACAGTACTACTAGGAATAATGGTATCTCAAGCTTATTTTCAAAGTTTTTTTTCATTAACTCCCATTACAATAATTACAATGAGAATTCAGATACAGATCAGTAAAGGAAGGAACAGAAGGAAATGTAAGGCTTGATCTAGGCCTTGACTTAACTTGAGGGAGAAAGCAAATGTGATGAGATTAAAAGTAGACAGAATCCCTGAAAACCTCTAAGTAGTACTACTTTTAAAATATTCATCATGATATTCATCTCAAAGTTATCAAGTAAAAATCTTTTATAAAAATAGAATATGCCAATACAAAAAATGAAATCTAGAGAATTAAGTTGCCTACTTTGATCCCTTAGCTCCCCAGTACCTACAAGCTAACATCCTTATAGCTTGACACACAAAAGCCCTTGAACCCAGATACACACCAAGATTCATTTCCTGCCATGCTTGTACTCATTTTTTGCCTCATTTCTATTATACTTTTCTGCCTAAAACATCCTTTGTATCTTTCCTTAAATGGCTATCTCTTCTTATGCAGCCTTCGTATCTCAACTCACATGGCATCATAGAATGTAATCTCCCCCAGGAAATTTTGACTAAAAGCCACAGGTTGGATTAAACGCTTTTTTCTTATGCTTCAAATAGGAGGACCCTTAACATACCTCTTTACCTCAAAATGTAACAGGTTAGATTGCAATTATGTTTAGTATTTAATGGGCAGCAACCATTTACTTGTAGTATCTGGCAACTGGTAGAAATTTTTCTTAAGTTTGATGAGCTGAATTATAAGAATTATGAAATACAGCAAGAAGAATTTTTAGGTAAACCTCAAATTAAGCAGAACTTGAGATCCATCTAAAAATTATAATATTGGAGTTTCGAACGTGGCTAGTCTCTGCTTAATTCAGTATTTGGCTAGATAAAATAAGAAATATTTTAAATTGCTATTAGAGAATTTCAATTCTAAACAGAAAGCCATAAAAGTCTCAAAACATGAATAAAATTATTTTATCATGTATTGTAATATAATACCAACAGACCATGTATTTTGTATTTACAATTCTTTCCAGACTAGGTGGTCACCTAATTTAATGTAAATACCTATGTCAGCTTAGAACATCAATATTCTAAGGGCTATCTCAATCAGGAAATTCAGACACTTTTCCTGTTAAAGACTGATAAATCTAGACCTTCATAAAGTAAACCTGAAGGCAATGGAAGCAAGGTCAGGCACACGATTACAGGAAAACAACTTCCTACATCGGCATTCATAACTACCAAGTTTTCCCAAGGAAACAGAGGAATTGGAGATATATTTACCTAGTATAAATCAAAATAAAGGAAGATCTTTCTGAGTGTGGCAGAAGGTATTGTTTAGGGATAGGGATGAGGATGATTCTCATGTTCAAGGAAAAGACTTCTTTCTACTAACTATTCTACTAATAGGTTTTATTTTTAAAAAAGATTGAATAGAAAGTATATTCAAGAACCTAATCCTTTGAAAATCACAACTGAGTCTGGCTTTAGTATATGCATACTGTCCAAGAACTGAAGTCCAGGTGACAACCCCAGTCCTGATTCTGTGCCTTGACAGTAAGGCCCAGAGCGATCCCTGTAATTGTGAACCAGAATAGGAAGATGTTGAAAACGGAAATATAGTGGGCCAACAACTACACAGTGCTTGTCATTCATCAGATGGGAAATTAATTTTCTGTTGTAAAATAAACTACTATTTACTCATGGCATCACTCAAGTACTGTTTATTCCGTAACTATAACAATGAAAAATGGAATATTGATCCTTTATGGATTACAGATCAACTACCACCTCATTGCTAATATTAAAAATTTTAAACTCAAAGTATAACTATGCCCTCTTTGGAGAAAGCTGTAAAGGGTTAGGAGTATACCAAAATATGCTGCATATAAACATTTAAAGACACTGACTAGCTTAGATGTTTAAAGCGGCACTGAAGTTGAAGGTGAAATAAATGTATTTGGAAAAAACAAGGATAAATAAATTTTAAAAAATTTAAACAAGGTATGTCTTGAAAATTGCAACATCTATCATGACATATTTGGATAATTGGTGTTTGTGACTTAATTTAAATGTACATTTGTTAATTCAAATACTCAAAGAAATATTTGATGATCATCTACTATAGAACAGAAGCTATGTAAAAATAAAGTTACTGATTTTGTCATCAATATTGTGGAAAATGAAAGCAACTAAAATATTTACATTTTTCCCAAGTGGACAGGAAGTACAAAAATGACTGTGAATGCTTCTGACATAATCAATACTTGCAGAATGTAAAATAATTTTTTTAAAAAGCAGGAATCAACCAAAACTCTTTAAAGGCAGTAAATCCAGGAGCACTGTTTTATTAGCTGCCAATTTTAAATAGGAAATATGCCCTACAAATTAATATTCATGCAATTTCAAGACAAGTTTAGGATTAAGTGAAAATGTCAGCACTTGGTTTCCTTGATTCCTGGGTTTTTAATTAGGTTTCTAAGATTAAAATGGGGAAATTTTGATGAGGAAATTTTCTCAAAATTATTAAACAACTTCAAAACAAAGCTTTTAAAACATTTAAATGTTTACTTAACACTGGTAAAACACTGTCAGTCAAGCTTAAAAATAAAATTGTTTCATTAGAAACATGCCATAAAATGCTTGTATCTTCATATTTGTTATGAATATGCTGACACTGACCAATCAAGTTTTGACTTTCCTACAAACTGATGCTGTCTTAACCAAACTGTAATTCATTTTCAATAAGAATCACAACCAGTGTCCACACACAAAAGAGAAAGCCCTTCAAATTACTACACAACTTTTACTTTTCAAACTTAAATATATTGCCATCTAAACACACTTCACTTCAATTTTAGATCCATAACTTAGAAAAGTGATCTAAAATGTATGTTATGTATCTCAAAAATAAAGTAGCTATTCATAACAACTCCATTTATGAAAATATTCGACATTTTAAAAAATTGAACATCTGCTCAGAGGAGGCTGGCTGAAGGTGTAAGAAGAGAGGTCTTAACACTAGGGCACTGCTTCTGTGGACCAACTTTAAAAAAAATACACAATTCTAAGCATATGTGGTTTAATATTTATAAAATGAACATTTTAGAAGATGTTGAAAACTACTGGATAGTTTACTATGAACTATAAAATAGTGTATCCATCAAAAAGTATGTTCATTATCTTTTCTTTTAGTAAAATTGTGCTCCTGGGCCCAAAATATCAGGTTACATATGCTGTCGCTGGCCCAGTCATCTCTGCAATGCTTTCTCAGAACGCACATTCTTAAAGACTTGGAAACTTAAAGGGGGCACCGCATCAAACATCAAACATCACTTAAGGTTCATCATTATCATTGGTACCACAGATGTAAACACTACATTGGAAAAATAATCAGCGAATGTGATACACAGACCTAATATTATAGAAATTTGATGAGTATGTGGCTGTATTTTTAAAAAGTTTTTTTTCTTTAGTTTCAATTTGCGAATTGATGTCAGAGCGCCTCTAGTCCTATCACAGCGGACGAACAAATCCCCGCTACCAGCTGCCACAAATTCTCTTTCAACTTTGTCTCTGCTTATCCCACTGAGGGAACTCAAATGAAGTGCTTTTCGCTACAATAAAACAAAGCTATGTAAATGTCAAAATCGTAGCAATCATGTAGCTGAACAGTTTGAAGATGAGTTGTGTACACTTAAGTGGTTTACACCGGTCAAAATAAAATCAGGCCGCTTAAAATTACTGAAACAACTGTAGTTCAATTTCACCACTCACTGATAGTAGCACACTGTTCCCAAGCAGCAACTGAGAATGCCACAAGATGGGCACAAACTTTCCCTGGAGTGAGGCAGCCGCGAGCAGGACGTGTCCACGCGTCTAGATACGAGCGCCTCCTGCGCGCACAGCACAGCTGTGACCTCGGAAGGGACGGGAAGGACCACGTCGACCCGGGGCGGACGGGGCGCGAGTGAGCCGCTCGCGGAGGGGCCCCAGCGGGACGCGCGCCGGGGAGATCCCGGGCTGGGAAGGGCGTTGGAGCACCTCCGACCGCCCCCACGCCGCCCCCGAGAGACCTGGGGAGGCGGGACACCGGCCGGATGCGGCGAGGGCCCCGCAGCAATGCGGCCACCCCAAGGGCTGCAGAGTCCGAGCCCATTTCCAGCAGGCCGGGGTCCGAGGGGGCCCGTATCCACGTCCACAGCCAGATCCCTCCACAGAAGCCCCCGCGCGCACACTCGGGAGTCTCTGCCCAGAGGAGAGAGGGCTGGTTCCGGAGCCCACCCGCCAGTCGCGCAGGACCACGGTCGCGCGAGGCGCAGGCACTGACCGTTCGGCCGCAGCAGGTTCTCCCGCGGTTGCCCCCTCCGAGGGGGCTCCCGTCCCGCCCCAAGCCGGCGGCCGCCGCCACAGGACGCGCTCTCCCGCTCCAGCCCGCTGAGGCGCCGGGCAGCTCCGAGGTGGCAAGACCCACTTGTACTCTCCCGTACAGCGTCCAGCAATTGAGACCTGGCCCCCGTGAGGTGGCTCCCGGCGACGACAGCGAAGTCGGGGACCAGGGCTTACAGTTGAGGTTTGAAAACTGCAGCCGCGTTGCGGGGCAGTGCCCAGCGCTGAAGCCGCCCCTCGCTGGCAGAGCCAATCCGAGAGCGCGTGGAGGGCGGGGCCGCCACGTGACGGGAGGGGCGGGGTGTCGGCCGGCCGCGCGTGCTGCGGGGCGGGCCTCAGCCGGGAGTGGGTGTGGCCCGCGCCGGGCCAGCCAGCGGCCCGGCAGAGCCGCGGAGCAGGTGCGGCGCTGGGGTGATTGCCGCGCGGCAGAAGCGAGGCGGGCGCTGTTAGAACTGCGCCCAGGGATGCAGCACTCACAGGGTGCGCCACCCCTGCCTTCAGCGCGGTCATTCCAAGAGGTGTGAATATCTGCGAACTGGAGAGAGGGAAGAAGCAAAGTGAGTTCCAGCTAGTTTCGACTTATCCCCAGATTTCTGTGCCTACCAAAGGCCTGTTTTTGGACTCCCCTGTCATCTTTCCTATGACCTGAACCCACCCGTCAAATGGAGAGCCCAGTTTGCGACGGCAAGAATCAACATCCTTTGCGGATTTATGGAGCCAGGGCCCAGCCACTCCAGTCTGCTCCGGTGCAGAGTCCTTCTGAGTCACGGCTGCAGGCCGTGTAAGGAGAGTCGGAATAGGATGAATTGCTGACTTTGCATTTAGAGTGCTAAGGGAAAATACGAAGGCCGACAGCAAACTTCTTGGGATCTGTTTACCCCTTGAAGATAATAATAAATGTTGGAAGTTCTAAGACACACTTGAGTTCTGTTTACATGATTTAGGGTTGTTTGCAGAGTATACTCCAGATAATTGTAGACTATTGGAAAACTATATTGAGAGGGGAATCGTTCTCTTTCAAAAGAATATAATAGTCCTCACATAAAAAGAGGTTTTCTTTTTCAATCCCAGTTAGATAAACAAATTCCCATTGAGCCATCGTTTGCTCTTCCATACTGTTATTTTCCCAAAATAAATGCATAAAATGCCTCACATTTAATGAAGTCGGTTTATTATTACTTAACTGACTCATCCTAATTTAATGTGTGTATTCTCTTAGCCTTCTCACTTGGAGAATATTGCTTCTGTCTAGTTTCTTGTTGCTAAAAATTGGACTGACTGGAGAAGGCTAAAATTAGGATGGAATCAAAAAAAAAAAAAAATTCCACGCGCTGAAAGAGACTTTTCAGCTATCATTATCTATGAGTCAACAAACCAAGAAGACTGTTCCCATCTCTTTTCAAAACATGGGGGCAGCATCCAAGAGGTTTCAGCACCAGCACTGAAATCAGTAACCCCAAGGGACTAGAATAAAGAGGGCCCAAATAGACTGCACCACCTCTGTGATTTTTGGTGTGTGGGTGTGTGTGGGTGTGTGTGTTTAACTCTGGACCTCTTCAGTTGCAACATTCGATCAATTGCCAGCTCTTAGCAGTCTCCTGACACTCAATCTGCCTTCCCCTCTGTCTCTAACCCAGTCCCACATCGCTTCATACCTAGATGAAAACCTTTCTCCATCACAGCTTTAAACCAAGCAAACAAGCCCTCTGCTCTAATCAATCAGCCTCCTGGGGTCTTTTCTTGTCTCACATTTTCCTGCCTCTGCCTTGGCTCTAGCTTTTCACCCTCCTCCTCATCAGCCTCTGGTGGTCATCAGTTCCAACTTTAAGAAGGTTACCCTCTCCAGAAATCAGAAATCTTTGCTGATTTCTACTTTCCACTCCCAGCTCTATCACCTCTTTGCCTTGCATTCCTAGGTGTAGGGCTCACATTGTAAATATTTCATGTGTTTCTCTTATACCCCTGAATATATTGTTAACCCTTGTGCCTGGTGTCAGCTTTGCCATCTAGGATTTAGCACACTATCCCAAGGACGTTCGACTATACTTGCTTGGTCTCCAACAGTCAAGGAATTCTCGTGCTGAGGAGCAGGTTATACTATCTATGGCCTTGCAATAAAATCCAGGAGTCAATGTGTTCCTCCATCCTACTTCACTTACTTAAAGTCATTCATCATAGCCATGTCAAATGTTCTTGTTTTCACGCCCTTGAGTAGGAAATCCCCACGTGACCTAATGGTCATTCTGTGGTCATTGCCTCTGACTACACAGTTCGTTAAGTTGATTCTTGAATGCCACATACTGACCAGGGATGGTGGTTATTATGGGCTAAATGTGTCGCTGACAAATTCATATGGTGGAGTCCTAACCCCCAGGACCTCAAAATGTGGCTGTATTTGGAGATAAGACTTTAAAGAGATAATTAAGGTAAAACAAGATTATATAGGTGGGCTTGAATCCAAGATGAAGAGATTATACCGTACCAACTACATGAAAAGTCAACCTACTGAATGGGAGAAAATATTGCAAATCATGTCTGACAAGGGGTTTAACATCCAAAGTATATAAAAAACTCATACAATTCAATAGCAAAAAACAAACAAACTGATTTAAAATGGGCAGCATGTCAGGATAGACATCTTTCCAAAGAAGACTTACACATGGCCAACACATGAAAAGATGCTCAACATAATTAATCATCAGGGAAATGCAAATTAAAACCACAATGAGGTATTACCTCACACCTACTAAATAGCTATTATTAAAAAGACAAGAGATAACAAGTGTTGGAGAGTATGTGGTCATAAGGGAACCCTTGTGGAGTGTTGGTGGGAATGTAAATTGGTGCAGCCAGTATGGAAAACAGTATGAAGTTTCCTCAAAAATAAAAAATAGAAATACCATATGATCTAGCCATTCAATTTCTGGGTATTTAACTGAATAAAATGAAAACATTCACTTCAAATATATACATCCCCATGTTCATTGCAGCATTATCTACAATAGCTAAGATATGGAAACAACCTAAGTGTCCAAGGATGGATGAATGAATAAAGAAATTGTAGGTTATAGCTATAACAGAATATATTCAGCCATAAAAAAAGAATGAAATATTGCCATTTATGACAATATGGATGAACCTTGAGGGCATAATGCTAAGTGAAATAAGACAAAGACAAATACTGTATGATCTCACTTACATGTAAAATTAAAACAAACATATAGATATAGAGAACAGATTGGTGGTTGCCAGAGGCAGTAAGAATAGTGGTAGGAGAAATAAGTGAAGGGGGTCAAAGATACAAGCTTCCAATAAAAAATAAATAAATCGGGGATATAACATACAGAATGGTGACTATGGCTACTATTACTGTATTGTATACTTGAAAGTTACTAAGAGAGTAGATCTTAAAAGTTTCATCATCACTAGAAAAAAAAATTTTCTGCCTATGTAAGGTGATGGATGTTAACTAGATTTATTGTTGTGATAATTACACAATGTGTACAAATACTGAATTATGTGTAGCCCTGAAACTAATATAATGTTATATGTCAATTATATCTCAATTTAAAAAAGATTACAACAGACAACACAGATTCAGGGATGCCCATGTGAGGGCACAGTAGAAGCTGATCACCTGTAAGCCAAGGAGAGAGGCCTCAGAAGAAACTAAACCTGCTGGCACCTTGTTCTTTGACTTGTAGCCTCCAGAAGTGTGAGAAAATAAACTTCTGTTGCATAAGACATCCAGTCTGTGGGTGTTTGTCGTGGCAGCCCTAGCAAACTAATATAGTAGTCCCCAGTCACCTCCAAGTGACCCGAGACGGTGGCCTTTGTGATCATGTGATATTCATCACATTCTATCCAGGGAAAGAGACCCTCCCCAGTCACAGCACACCAGTCACCACAGGCTGACCACATACTTGCCAGGGAAGGTGACCCTCTCTGATGGCACATTTCGCCCAAGAGGTGCAGAGGATGAGGGTGGAATTTCAGACAGAGAGGAAGGCCCCAAATTCAAAACTCCTGCCATCGACATATGCTCCTTCTGAAGAGGAGCTTACCAGGTATTTTTGTATGGCCAGAAAAATTTGTGGCCAGGATAAAGGCAGCCAGACACAAAGGGGGACCAATTGCCTCCAAAGGAGCTTGGCTCAAACCTCCACTCTACAGGGGTACACATGTTGAATGGAGACAGCGTAGCCCAAACAGAGGTAGGAGGGCTAGGTGTAGTCAGACGGATAAGTTACAGTGCATTTATCCATGGTGCCTACAGCACATTCCAATTTTGAATGCATTTGGGGACCACAGTGATCTTGCATCCTTTGGCTCTCTTAAAGCAAAGCCTCTTAGCAGAAGTAATTGGGAAAAGTCTTCCCTTATAAGAGTTATGACTCAGACTGATAAACATGACTCCCTCAGAGGTGACACAATTCTATTCTCCAAAGCACCCATGATTGACTGGATCTAGATTGCAAATCAAGTCACTCACTCTAAACTTCTAAAACCACCCAAAAGAAATGTCATGCAGGCTATGTATGTCATTTTAAATGTTTAGTAGTCACAGCTAAGAATAAAAACAGATTATATTAATTTTAATAATACATTTTACTCAACCCAATATATCCAAAATACAGTCATTTCAACATGTAATCAAAGTAAAAATTATTAATAAGGTATTTTATATTTTTTTATTCATATTGTCTTAAATGTGGTGTATTTTACATTTATAACATATCCCAATTCAGATGCTAACTTTTCATTGGAAACACTTGATTTGTATTTAGATCATAAAAAATTTACCTTTGAAAAAAGATTCACATCCCTACATTATTTCAAACATAAAAGTTTTCAATAACTGAATACTGTATTCGTTTCTTAAATTTAATTAAAGTAGAATAAAATTCAAATTAAGTTCTGCCAGCTACATTTCAAGCACTCCATAAAAAACACATGGTTGGTGCCTTTTGTATTCACAGGTCCAGAGGGCTAGAAACATGCCTTCTAATGGCTTCTAAGCCTCAAATTGTTTAATGCAGTACTCAGAATAATGTAGGTTCTCAATAAATCATAGCAGTTTGGAACTTCAAACATCTGTAAGGCTCAGTAGCCCATTTTCCTGTTTCAGAAAGGA